GGATGCCAGTTCTGACTTACATACAGATTCAGCTTAAGAAACCCAGGTGTCCCCAAGTCAGCTGCTGCTGAAACTGATCACTTTCAACCGTGGCTGAATCTGGATGCCAGTTCTGACTTACATACAGATTCAGCTTAAGAAACCCAGGTGTCCCCAAGTCAGCTGCTGCTGAAACTGATCACTTTCAACCGTGGCTGAATCTGGATGCCAGTTCTGACTTACATACAGATTCAGCTTAAGAAACCCAGGTGTCCCCAAGTCAGCTGCTGCTGAAACTGATCAGCAGCTGATTCCAGGAAGCCTGGGGCAGAGCAACTCTGCCTCGGGCTTCCTGTAGTCAGCCGTTGGTCAGTTTCAGCAGCGGCTGACGCCAGTTCCGACTTACATAAAGATTCAACTTAAGAACAAACCTACAGTCCCTATCTTGTACGTAACCCGGGGACTGCCTGTATATGTTAGTTTCCTCTTACATATATCAAGTTATTCTTTGCCTTTTGCCTCCCTGTTTTGTTTTTCTTATGCCGAGGCAGATTCTATCAGACATCACTGGGCTTCTGTGTCCAGCTGGTCTTTGTCTCTGATTTATCCACCCCCCCCCCCCCCCCCACACACACACATACACTCTCTTTCTCACATAATGGAATGTTACAGAGCTCAAAAGGTACTTTCACATTATGTGGAAATTTACATTATACTGTATTGGGCAGAAACCTATCAGCATAAATTTGGCCTCCAGGACCTCTCTCCAATCTCTTGCTATGTCATTGTAATGGAGGTGGCTGGTCCGCCCCTCCCTCCCCGTTTCTCAGTTTTTCGCAGTTTCTCCTCCGCTCCCCTCTGTTCGCTGTGACAATCTCTGTTTCCTCACCAAAGGGGAAATAGGGGGGTCCGGGCCCACCCTCTCTCCCGGACCCCAGCCCAGAGCCCTAAGGACAGGATCACCAAATCCTGTCCTGCCGGTGGGGCGCTTTCCCGAAACTCACCAGCACGCAAGCTCCTCACCTTGCCCTGGGCTACTTCCTATTCCCCTCTCGCTGTGCCGACCCTCCGTCTCCGGGCCTCCCGTGACTCCTCTCCCGGTCCCGGACACGGGGCCCCGTTCGCTCTTCTTCTTCGCCTGTCCCCACTACCTCCTCCGCTTTCACGTTCTCCGAACCCTCCTTCCCTTCTCCTAGCCCGGCTAGGTTTTAAATGTCCGCGCCGGCGTTCTGACGTGATGACGTTGGCCGCCGCGCAGGTTAGCTCCACCTCTTCCCCCATCCCCCAGCTCCCTGCCGGCAGGGCCGCGGCTGAGCACGCGTCGCATGTTGGCCTTACCCCCTGGGCTGTCCCGAGAAGTGTTAGGGCGACCGCGGGTTCAGTGCGGGGTGGGTCCGCATCTGTGGGGTGGAGGCGGCCTACCCTGTTACAGTCATGTACAGTAATTCCTCATTTAACACTATAGATATGTTTCAGAAAATAATCGTGTTAAGCGAATACGTGTTATGCAGGGTCAGTTTTCCCATTGAAAATAATGGAAAAGGTGGGGGTTGCGTTTCAAGCGGTGGTGTCTGCTGAGACCGGGACATAAGGTTGGGGGAGAAAGGGGACTGGGTTACAACGGGGAGGGGAGGTGTTTGGCTCTGGGGAAGTGAAGGGGAGGAGAGGAGAGGGTGATTGGGTTGGGAGTATGCCCCTGTGATGGGTCTGCCGGGACACACACTGCGTCTGGCGAGGGGAGGTAGCTGGGGAATGGTGCAGCGAGTGGCGAACCCTCCGCCGCTTTGCAGGGAGGCGGGGGAAGCCTCGCATTGCCACCGGCAACGGGCTGGCTGGGGAAATCATGTTATTCTGGGGACGGTCGTGTAATTCAAAAAACGTTCCCTAAAAAAAAAATCGTGCTATCACAAAAACATCTTAAGTGGGTACGTGTTAAATGAGGAATTACTCTACCACTACATCTGGCTCCTCTGCCAGCACTACACAAGTCTGTCTAGATCAGGCATATTAAACAGGCCTCTGGAGGGCTGCATGTGACCCGATCGAAATATTCTTATAAAAGAAAAGAGTGCGGCCTGCTGGCTGCTTGGAGCACATGGCTGAGTGCAGATCACAGCTGGCCGCCCATCCGCTCTGAGTGTGGCGCCACAACAACTGTTCATGGCCAGCTGAGCCACTCTGTACTTGGCGCTCCAGCATGTGCTCATGGCCAGCTGGACTGTTCTGTGCTGGGTGCTCCAGCATGTGCTCACGGCCAACTGGGCACTCCAGCACATGCTCACGGCTGGCCGGGCTGCTCAGTGCTGGGCACTCCAGCATGTGCTCACGGCTGGCTGCTGTGCTCATGCCGCACTAGTGCCTGAGGAGGAAATGTGTGATAGCAGCGGCAGCTCAGGACCCAGGCATTAGGTTGGGAGGGTTGGGAGTGCCTGGATCTGGGGGAGGGGGAGACATGAGGTTCGGGGAGCTGGGAGTTTCTGGCCCTGGAGGAGCGAGGAGGCATTGGGTTGGGGGGTGTGTGCGCCTTGCTCTGGAGGAGGAATGAGGCATTGGGTTAGAGCAGGGGAGTGCTCTGGGGGAGCGGAGAGGGATTGGATTAGAACAGGGGTATGGGGAGAGAAGTGGGATATTTTGTTAACATTTTGTTTTTTATTTATTTATTCCCAAATAAAATCACAATGTATATTAATTTTATATCAATAAATGTCAATTTTTTGCAATTGCATGAATATTATACGTTAATGCAAAATCTCAAACTTACAGCGTATCTGAAATTTTCACAGAAGCCTGTTCTATTTGACTAACCACGGTGTATACTTTTTTATTTCAATAAAACAAGTTATGTATCATATAAAAAATTAAAAAGTACCTTAAATTTATATTTAAATTAAAAAATTATATATGGGCAAATAATTTTACACATCAAATTATTATTAAAACAAGACCTGAAAAATTACAAAATATACCTAAAACATAATCTATAATAATACATAATTATGACTTTCCAGTAGAAGTACATTTTCCTTTGGTGGCCTGAGAGCTATCAGTTTTTGTTTGTGCAGGCCTCAGTAGGTTTTGAGTTTGATGTGCCTAATCTAGATGGCTCAAGAAATCTGCACTTTTCGCAATACACAGGCAAGTCGTCATGGGGTTCTTCCGATTATTGCAAACTCAGCTGTCTGTTCCTAATGATTGATTCCCCCATTACTAACACCTGTCTTTTCCTAATAACTGGAGTTCCTTCCTCCATGGAGGTATCCTTAGTGCCAGAGAATACCACATGAGCATCTGGAAGGAAGGTGCCAACTATGGATCATTTCCCATGTTCTCCTTCACTGAGCCTTTAGCTCTCCTCAACCGCACAGAGGCTGTCTGATCAGGGATGGGACTTTTCCACTGTGTCTGTGTATCTCTCTGCCTCTCCAATTCAGCCACCTTGGTCTCCAAAGTCTGTACATGGTCTTTGAGGGCCAGGAGCACCTTGCATTGAATGCTCACATGTGCCACATATCCACAGGGCAGATAATCATACATGCTACATTGGGTGCAACAAACTGAATTGCCCCTACTTTGCTGCTGGACTTCTGTTTTTGCATTCTCTTCTTCCTAGAGATAATTACTTTCTTGAAGGGTTAAAAAAAATTGGGTGGTTTTGATTTTAAAGAATGCTATGTGGCTCTACCCCCCTCTAAACTCCTCCTCTAAACTTTGTTGCAGAACTCCCATTAGTTTCTCCTGTGCACTGGCATCTCTGGTTGCATAGGAGTGGGCTTTTTAAAGCCTTGCCTTCCTGAGTAGCCATGCCCCTTGGTTAAGTCTTGATGGGTGTTGAAGGGATTAGGTTATTAAAGCCTCGTTAAGAAGGTCTCCACCTTGCCTACTTAGCTGTTAGCCTCAGCACATGGTCCTTCAAACAAACACACTTGGTACTAGGGATGTAAGCCACTAGTTGACTATCTGATAAGCATAAGCTTATCGGATAGTTGAGTAGTGTCTCGACTAGTCGCTGCCCCCTCTTGCTTTTTCTATCAGAGGCTGCAGGGGAGGGAGAGTAGGAGCCGATGCTGGGGGAGCTGGCTTAAAATCTGGTTTTCCCCCCAGCACTATCTGTGTGGGAGGCTGGGGAGGCAAAGGCATAACAGGGGACCGGGTGCCATTCCTCTGCTTTTTAAATATATTAAGAGCCTGTCAGCTCTTAATATGTTTAAAAGGCTGAAGCGCCGGGGGAGGGGGGTGAGGTAGAACAAGTTGTGAGCTGAGAATTGGCTGGTCTCCCCTTGTGCTCTTCAGCCTTTTAAATGTATTCAGAGCCTGCCAGCTCTGAATACATTTAAAAGGAAGAATCTCAGCGGGGTTAGCTCTTAGGGCTGGAAACTAACTCTCTGTGGCTCCACGGTTTCCCCTGCTTATCAACTAGTCGATGGAAATTCCATCTGCTAGTTGATTAGTTTATTAAACACAATTTAATATCCCTACTTGGCGCACAGTATCTTTCAGGCAAGGAGCAAGCACATGATAAACACACACACACTACAGACAATCACTTATCCCAAGGGTCACGTAATCTGCCCTCCTTCACCTGGAGAACTCCATCACAAAACTCCCGGTAGCTGCTCCTATTTCGTGAGTGTGGTAGTGTGTGGGGTTAAGGCTGCTCTGTGGGTGACATTTGAGGTGGAGGGATGCTGGTGTAAAGTATAATTAATGAACTTTATAAACCGAATTGTCTAAATGTTAGCTTATTTTACCTTTTGGAAGGAAAATTGCTCATAAATGCCATACACCAACGATGTTTTGCTTAGGCTAAAGGATTATACACACGTATGTTTACATGAGTTACAGGAGTATGTAAGAATGCCCACTTTTCCTTCTCTTTTCCTAGTCTCTCTGTTCTGCCTTGGCTGCATAACAGATCATTTTTCTTTTTCTTTTTCTGGCTGAATATATTAGAAGGCTGACAGACTTTCACAAAAGGACCGTAATGCGCTGTGTGCAAAACCACATGATTTGTTTGATTGCAGGGACCTTTTGGCCAGCTTCGAGTAAGGATTTGTGTTTAAAAGAAAAGC